TTCCTGGCTGCCATCTGCTTTACACTGGCTTTCCTTGCCAGGAAGCTGCCAGGGGCTTTCAACGAGGCCAAGCTGATCACCTTCAGCATGCTGGTCTTTTGCAGTGTCTGGGTGTCCTTTGTGCCCTCCTACCTGTGCACCAAGGGGAAGTACATGGTGGCAGTGCAGGTCTTTTCCATCTTGGCCTCCAGCGCGGGGCTGCAGGGCTGCATCTTCATTCCCAAGTGTTACATTATTGTACTGAGACCTGACCTGAATACAAAGGAGCAACTCATGATGGAAACTAAGCATGGCATCTGATCCTGAGTACTGAAGCTCAGTTAAGAATTTTGATCCATTAGAATCAGAACCACAGCGTGCAGTCAAATTAGAAACATGAAGGAGATAACTTTGCAAGTTGCTTGCATTGTGTTGTAGGCCACTGAGAAATGCCTTTCAGAAATCAGATGAGTATTTGAAATGTGGTCCAATAAACTAAAAATAACCTGAAAAACTTTTATGACAGGCTTGTACACTGCCTCCTCCCTTCTGAGATCATCCAGAGAGAAGCATCGCTTTGTATCTTTTGTGAAAACCAAAGACTTCCACAGAGTAGTGCTCTACAAATATGCCTTTACTTAGAAGAGACCTTTTCTTTCTTACACTGTTAAAAACTATCCTGAGGAAAATTCTGAATACTGTGGAAGCCTGTATCTGACATTCTGAGTATTTGCAGAGTTCATGGAATTTCTTCATGGAATGGAAAGCATCACATTTGGACTGTGTGCACACAACACAAGAGAGAACTCTGCATGTTTACCACAGTTCATAGTTTTATTTTATTTACTTATTTACTTGTTTATTTATACATACATACATACTTGTTTTCATAGACCTGCCAAAACTGCCAAACCCTTCCTAGGCAGCCTGATCAGGTGGCTTTCTACCCTGATCCACCAGTTCTACCATCAGAAAATCTAGTGGGTTTTATGTTATGTTTACGGACAAGCTGCCCTTCATTTTTATCACGGTTCTAGTTTTTTTCCATGTTCTGTTTCTAGACAAACAGCGGGTGCCTGCTTTAGCATGGTTTGCACAGTCTGTGTGTATCCCATCAGCTGCTACACCTGAAATGCAATCCCAAGGCTCACCACTCACCAAGGCTGTGCCAGGACTCTTTTTCAGGGAGGGAATATGTCATTTTCCCTGGGCTTGGCATCCTTGTCTCCAGTCAGCTTTCCAGTGGCCCTGAGACTCAGTTCCTAGTGAGCCTAGCCAGGATTCACAGAGCACGTGTCTGGAATCAAGTCTCATGCACAGTGGAAACAGCATTCCCATTCTGTGCCATCCGCAGGAACCATGTCCATGACTGCATCTGAGGCAGAGGAAGGTGGTTGCAGGATGAAGTCCCACAGAACCATTAGCAACTTCCCTCTGCCATGCCATCTGCAGCAGGTCTTTGTCCTGCTGACATGGAGGAAGGTTTCCAGTTGCTCAGGGTTTGTTCCATAAGTGTCTGCAGAGTTCTTTCCTGTTGCACTTGCTTTCTAAGTCCAGGATGAACATGAGAGAATGGATTCCACCAGGGGTCCTCTGAACCCTGCCACTCCCTGCCTATGTCACCTGCTTTCCCCTCATTGGTCTGCACACAGAGGTTTGCCTCAAGCCACATTCATTTTTTTTATTATTATTATATTTCCATCCCACTATTTTCTTACAGCAAACTCAAAGAGACTGACATCATTTCCCTCCTCCTGCTCTCAATCTTACCCCACAGCAACAACCCTCTGAGGTAGGTCAGGCTGAGGGTTTGTGACTGCCCCAAGTCCCAGTCCTCCATGCTTAACCATTACACCACACTGCCCCCCACACAAGAAGAGTCCATTAAGAACAGATGTTTCTGCTGTCTGTGTAAAAACACATTGAATCCTTCTGATCCTCACCAAAGTTCAATCGATGCTCATTTGCTGGAGATTCCCGTTTTGAACAAGGACAGAAACCGTCAAGGGCAACACTGGGCAGCCTTCTGCACTGTCGAATGAGCTTGCAGCATAACAGAGACCACGTGCTGCTGAAAGCTTGGGCTGAGATTTGGGGCAGGTAGGGCTGGCCATGTCTGTGGAACAACTAAGTGGACACACCCCTCTCTTCCACTCTGGGCTCATTGAATATAGATAGACTCTGAAACCTCATCCTCACAAGAATTCTGACTTGTCTGGTTTGGGGGCCACAGAGGAGGGAAGAGCAGCCACAAAGGAGGGGCAGGAAATAGCAAGACCTTGAATGATACACTGTTGCTTCTACTTCTGCTTCTGCTCCAGGCAGACTGTGAATCCTGGAAGGAAGGCGTTCTGTGATTTGGATGCTGGAAGACCTCCTGAATACTCACCAGGGGCTGCTTCCCTTATGGAGTCATAGTCGTTTATGTATAAAGGTACTTGCATCTTTTCCTAGTCATTTCAACCCAGTTTTCATAAGGGAGTTGTGGTGATGTCTCACTTCCCAACCTGAACTCCCCTTGTCCCCATATTTTGGAGATGATCTGTAGATGATCTGTATCGAACATGTTGAAAAAAGTGATGGCAGGAAGTGATGCCCAGATTATTTTCTGCATTCATTTATTACATTTAAAAATTATTAAAATGTTAAACTAACACTAAAAACATCAAACATCACATACATCGGATTTACTGGGTCACCCCCCTACTACATATTTTTTAACATTCTAAAGTCAAATTCAAATCAATTTATACTAATTTGAAAACATCTCTAAGTTTATGCCGAGTCCCATTTCTCCAGCCAGTTATAGAAAGAGTCCCAGGTTTGATAGAAGTCAGTGTCCTCTTTCTCCTTCAATGATAAATTCAATCTATCAATTTCTGCACAGTCCAAGACCTTTCTTACAATCAATCCATCGGTGGGTAGCTCCTCACTTTTCCAATATTGAGCAAATGCAATCCTCGCCGCTGTGATTAGGTGCAGCATCAGATACATTTCCTGTCTGCTAATGTCTTCTGGTATGATGCCTAACATTTATTACATTTTTGTAGCAATCCAACAGCAAAAAATATTTGGATGGTTTGCCATGCTTAAAGAGACAAAAATACACAAATACATAGAAAATCGGAACACTTCCATGTAAAGCCAGAGGAAAAGCCCAAATCATTGCAAAGTTCAAAAACGTCCATAACAAGTTTAAAACAGGAAAAGATGAACAACTTAGAAACATAGAAACAGAGCAAGTCAGAAGGGGTTTCCCAGGCCACCTAGTCAGACCTCTGGCTCCAGCCGGCTCTGCTCATGACATGCCCACCATGTCCATGTCCAGCCTATCTTTGAATACCCTTGCCCCCAACTTCATATGCCTAGAAGAATACAAAAGTTTTCTCATGGCTCTGAAAAGTCACAAGAATGTGGCCAGGTGAGCCTTTCTAATGAATGCATACCACCTCCTGCAGCCACTGCTGAAAAGGCCAACCTGTTAGCAGGCAATCAGAGACCCACTCTAAAGCTAAACAGTGAGTCTCATGAATCAGATGCTATCTTTGCTTTTCATTATGAGATGTTCCTTTGTATTCAGATCAGGCCTCAGAACAATGACGTAGCATTTGGGAAGGAAGATGCAGCTCAACAACCCAACACTGGAGGCCAAGATGGAGAAGATCTGAACAGCCACTGTATATTTCCCCTTCATGCTCAGATAGGTGGGCAGAAAGGACACCCAGATGCTGCAGAAGACCAGCATGCTGAAGGTGATCAGTTTGGCTTCATTGAAGGCCCCGGGCAGCTTCCTGGCCAGGAAAGCCACAATGTAGCAGATGGCAGCCAGGAAGCCCATGTAGCCCAGGGCAGTGTAGAACATGGCCACAGAGCCCTCATTGCATTGCAGAATGATCTCTCCAGGCAGCAAATGCATGTCTGAGTCAGGGAAGGGAGCAGCCATGCCCAGCCAGATGGAGCAGATGACAGCCTGGACACTGGAACAAGAAAGGACAATGGAGTTGGCCAGACTCTTCCCCAGCCATCTCTTCACCCTGCTCCCCGGCTTGGTGGCCAGGAAGGCCAGCACCACAGTGATGGTTTTGGCCAGCACAGATGAAACACCCACTGAGAAGATGATGCTGAAGGCCGTTTGTCGCAGCAGACAAGTCACTTTGCTGGGTCTGCCAATGAAGAGGAAAGAGGACATGAAGGACAACAGGAGGGAGACCAGGAGAACATAGGAAAGATCCCGGTTGTTGGCCTTGACTAGTGGAGTTTTTAGGAATTTAATGAAGATTACTAACACAATGCCTGAGGAAAAAGAAGAGATCACGGCAACGGAAGTCAGGATAATCCCCACAGGTTCTTCATAGGAGAGGAAGTTTATAACCTTAGGGACACATTGGACTCGCTCCTTATTTGGGTGCTGATCTTCTGGACAACTGCTACAGTGCTCTGCATCTGAAAAGAAGGAAAGCCACATCAGAATTGTTCACTTCAATGGTACATTCAGAACATCCTGGGTTTTACTCCATTCATCCCAAAGATGGGATGTGGGTGATGTCAGGACACAGTCCCGTGTGGTCTGGCAGGGTGAAAACAAAGTTTCCTGAGGGGACATGCACAGTAATCAGAAGTGTTGCCATGTGGTTTCTCTCCAAAGGAGGGATCTCACCGAAGCATTTCTCTGTGGGACACTCTGGAGTCCCTGACTATGAGAGCTGAAGAATCACTTGCAAACTTGATGGACTGATCGTACTCAAATTGGGAGTAGCAAATGTGTTAAGTGCCCCAGGGATCACAATAGTATCTGTCTAATTTCCCTTCTTTTAATCTTCAGAAAAGTCCAGAGTGGTGGCTTGGATTGACAGGCCTTTTCTCAGCTTTGTGAGCTCCAAGAGATGTTCTGAAGTTGAGAAGCCAGAGCAGTGATTGGTCATCATCCTACCTTAACTTTTCCCTCTGATGAAATGTTTTGCTAAATACTTTGCTCCCTTTCCCTCCAAGGAAGCTTTGCCTGCTTGCCCCCAAATCAAAGCTCATTACAAACAGAAGTCTTCATATCATGGTAGGTCTCACAATTTCAAAGAGAGACTTGTCCAATCATGTGCAAAGAAGCAGAGCTTGTGGGGTGTCATTTGAACCAGGAAATTAGTGGAACCAGGAAATTAGTGAGAGCCAGTGTGGTGTAGTGGTTAAGAGCACGGGACTGGGACTCAGATGATCTGGGTTCTAGTCCCAGCTCAGCAACGGAGCCAACTGGGTGACTTTGGGCCAGTCACAGACTCTCAGCCCAACCCACCTCACAGGGTTGTTGTTGTGAGGATAAGATGGAGGAGGAGAATGATGTAAGCTGCCTTGAGCCCTTTGTAGGAAAAAGGCAGGATATAAATTGAAAAATAAATAAAAATAAATAGTGCTCACATTCTGTATGTAATGTAGATGGGCCAGGATGGGCCTGCTTTGATTGTGATTTGTGGTGGGGGACATGTGTGCTGAAGCTGCCTCCTGCTCCTGGGTATGACCATCAAGTCAAATTTACAAACCCACTTTACATAGGGAATCATGGAGGTTGTCAAGACTGGAGTCAGGGAGGGTCCTCAGGGCAGTACCCAGTACCTCACTGTGCCTTCCCTGAATCAGTTTCGTAAACTAGACCCATTTGGAAGTGGGGAAAGCACTTATTTCTGGCATGGGGTAGGCCCTCAGGGTTCCAAATAAGAACTCCCTTGAGCATCCTGAACCAGGAAAAAGCATCCCTGCCCAGTTTGGGATTCCAATGGGAATTCTGATAAAGTAGCACTTTAATATGGGTGTAAGCTTGGGTGGAGTTCGAGGGATGGTGCAGAACAGGAGAGCCTGGAGGAATGTTGTCCATGGGGTCGCAATGGATGGGGCACAACTCCGCGACTAACAACAAAACACTTTATAGGTGGTGAACTCCATTGCACAAAGGGTTGGAAGGGTGTTTGTGCAGTCAAACTGCAGGGGCATAAGAGAATGAGGGGCATTGTGTACCAACTAGATGTTGTCCCAAATTCAAAGTGTGTTCACACCAAAATAGAATTTATTAATTGCTAGAATATTAACCCTGGAAAATGTTGGAATGTAAAAAGAAAGATGGAATTTTCCATCATATGTGATGAACATGTGAAAGAAATAAACGATTTTGGAAGCAGATGCACATGGAAATGCAGAAAATACTTAAAATGGACTTTCCAATGAATGCTAAGAATATACTATTGCGTACTGCACCAGGGACTATCCCAAAGACTATGACACAATTAATTATTATATGCATGACACCAGTGTCAAGAGTAGTAATTTCTTCAAAGTGAAAAGCTGAAGACTGTCCAGCTGTCAAGGAGTGGAAGAACAAGTTAGCTGACTATGCAACAATAGAGAAATTAACTTTATTGACAGAAGGCCAGTCAAAGAATTGACTCAGGGATGGACCGTCTATTATGAGTAACTTAATGAACTGTTAAAGAAAATATGGTTTGTATAAATGTCAGCAATTTCTACTTTAAAGTTAAAGCAATAGACTAGACACATTTTGATTGAGAATTGCATTGTTTTGATAGGATTAAGGCCAATGGGGTTTTTTGCTTTTTTATGAAGTTTTAAAGTTGATGTCACATGCTATATTTCTGGATTGACCCCTGGCACCTTCCTTTTCTGTATTACCTTTTCTTTCTTACTGTATCTTGTGAGGATACATTCAAAAAGGATTTGAAAAAGAGAAATATTAGGATGATTGATTGATGGATGGACTTTATTTTGAATATTTTTATGTCAGTGCACATCCAAGAGATTCTTGAACTGCAAGAATGCTAAACCAGAGAAGAAGATACGTTTCTCACAATTAAAATAAAATGAAGGGTTATCCTTCAGCTAGGGACTTATGCAACAGCTTGGTAAATCTCCACCAGGCACTGGGAGGATACCATTTTGGTAGCAGGTGTACCTGCTGGGTATGGTATTCCTTGAGTCGGGGGCCTCAACAGAAAAGACCCTTCTTCTGCTCAGACTTCCTTTGCCAAATTCAGGTGGGGTTTCTGCAAGACAGCCTCCAATTGAAAATGTATAGCATGAACAGAATCAGCCTATTTGCCCTAGTTCTTGAAGGGACACCCTTTCCTCAGAGGGTACCCACCTTCCTGAGTGGAGATTGTTCCCTCTGCACATGGAGTGCAAGCGTAGCAGCAGGGGGGCTTTCCTTCCTGGACCTCCATGGCAGATCCAGGGTGACACCTCTCAACACACCTGGAAGAAGGTTTGGCCTGGAAACAAAGAAAAGGAGTATCATGAGAAATTATTAGTATTTGGATTGGTGGAACAAAATCCTGGTGGTGGGAAGGACGCCTGTGTCCTAGTTTCAGTGACAAGCATGTTGAAGGAATGGATGGATTTATTCATTTAGGAAAGGTTTACATTTGAAAGGCAGCATGGCAGAGAAGCCCCTCTGGGGTATTTGCTCACCTTTTTAATACACAAATCATTTCTGATGCTTGCTGCATTCAGCCTGGGCCAGGAAGCAAGCTGGGCTGAGATCAAGTCCAAGAATACTTGGGAATGCTAGCAGCATCCTTGCTTCAGGTATGCCAAGTACATAATTCTGTGCACAAAGACCA